TTGCCACAGAAGTGGAAATACGCCAACAGGAAATTGCAAACACATACCCGCACACACACACACACAGTCACATAATACGCACTCTTACAAATTTCGCTTACGCACAACGGAAGGAATGCGCCAAGTTAAAATTGCATACAGCGCTGGCTGCAAACCTCGAAAGTGATAAAGTCTAACGGCAATTCTTACTTCTGAGCGAGAACACTGTTGGTAAATGCACTAGGGAGTGTGCATATGAGGTGCGTTGAAGACGCCGCCAGCGCTTATGTACTGTGTGTTGGAGGAAGCGAGAGCGAGGGAGCAGAATAAGGAGGAGTGTGTGCACTGTGCACTTTCAGCTCATTTTCGTCTGCAAGTGCCAACTTTGCACTTGGCCAACTGTGCTTTTATGCGCATTTTACTATTGCTAAGTACATTTCAGCGCTGTTGTTGATAAACTTTTAACCCCTACCCTCTTCTATCGTTCTGCCTGAAATGCTTTGCTCTCCACCTGCTTTGCTCTCCACCTGCTCTGCGCTCCAGCCATTACGGTGTGTAATTGCATTTCGCAGTTTTATAATTGCTCACCACGACGTCCGCTTGTGTTATGTAACAGTTTGCGGATTGTGGTTTGTGTGTGTGTGTGTGTGTGTGTGTGTGTGCGCGGCATACACAGTGGCAGTGGTGTGTGCTTCTTTGTGGTTCGGTGTGTACGGTTGGTGGTGGCATGTTGGCGGTGTGTGCGCGCTCCACTGTCGGAATTGAAATGTAAATTAAAAAGCGTAATAACATTGGAAATAAAGTTACATTTGTGCGAGTTGAAAATGCGAAATGTGAAATTCCCCCCATACACACATATATATACAGATACAAACAAATAATCACCTCATACGCAAGTGTGCTATTTTTATTTATTTTCCTCCTCTTAGCTACGGTTGCTTTATTGGCAGGAATTCAATTTTCACAGCAGTTAATGTTATATTTTATTAACTTCTTCTTCTTCTTCCATTACTTGTTTTGGTTGTTGCTTGAAATGCGCAAAAATCTATATTTGTACAGCTAATAATTTTAGTTGGCCACTTTCTGCGAAAATTCTTAATTGGAAAACCGCTTTAAATATTATATACTTATAAACGGCTTTGCTCTGAATGGCTGACGAATTAACCCACAGCTTAATCCACTTGGTATAGAGACCTGAGAAAGAATTATTCCGGAAGTGGACCTGGGTCCCAACTATTCGAAAAAATTTATTATAATTTTAAAGCGTGTAATTTATTTGAAAAATTTTTATTTATCGTTTGATTTGCATAAATTTACAACAGTAGCTTTAGTAACTCCTTAGCAGAAGTGGAGCTTTTTAAAAAATATTCAAAAACATTCAGACAATGCAAAAATTTTCTGATGCCGCAAAGAGAAATTGAGCCCCATATAATATATGAGAATCTACTTAAGAAAATATATTAATGCCGCAGAGGGGAAAATAGGAAATTTCATCTACGACTTTATGAGACTTTTAGGCTGTGATAGCCTCTTTCACTTTAAATTTACTTAAGCATAATGAATATGCACGATAAGCCCATAGAGTAGTTATCATGCCACTTTTGAAATAATTCTAAGGACTTGAATATTTGGGCGCTCAGTGATAAACACCGACTACGCCATTCATAATCCGGTGAGTTTCTTTCTGAATGCACTAAATCCTCACGGTTTCCCAGCACACATTATGTAGTTAAGATATATATGTAGTTAAGATGTTAATATAACTGCTCTAAATATATCTACCAAAAATTGTGCAAAGGTACCAGATTACTGCTGAAAGTATAAGCTTTTCATCAATTTACTCCTTAAAATCCAATAGAGTGTGATTTCTCCTAAAATTATGCTTCATAAAGCTCAAAGCAAAACTCCTAAGGTTGCCAGTTGTATGTGGGATGTTCCAGAAGAAGCTCACAGGGTAGCTAAGTTACCTGGCATCTCACCGAAAAACTAAACCTTTTTTTCTTTAAAGAGATATTGCAATACATGAAGGGCTTCGTTCTTGTACAAATTGAATTTTCTAGTTTTGCTTAAGCTTTGAATACCTACACTATAATCAAAATTCTTTTATTTTATTATTTAATTTATTTAATAAAAAAATTTCATATAATAATTGACGGCTGCAATGACGAATTCAGTTTCATGTCAATAATGCTTTTTAGATGGTTGGCGTAGCATTTTTGTTTCCTGATTGCCAACCGGCTTGGGAGATGTGGTTGAGGACTCATCAAGTGTATAATTAACTTTCTTGTAAATCGTAAAAATTACTTCCATAATATCAATTTTCTAAAAACATCTCCTCTTTAATCAGCTTAGATTGGGGCAGGTACACACCTTAGATGAAGCACAGCTATTGGAAATCATCTTAATCTTTTAATATACATATTACAGCACATTTTATCAGCTTAACATCCACTTTCTTTATCTACTAAAACTTTCTTTCCTTCACATTTATGTACGTTTACTGTACGGGAGTTATTCTTAAATCACAAGAAAAAATATGCAAAGCAAATAAATTATATAGAGATAGCAAAATGATATTAAATAAAGATAAACAAAGCAAGAATAAGAATAAATAAGTTAAAATATTTATCAAACTCCCTTGGCAAAGTCTTGAAGTTTACCAATGCTACTGAAGACTATGGGGACGGGGTATTGAAGAAAGCGAACTGAGTCAATGCTGGGCGCAAGAAGCATGATAAAAGACGCAATGAATCATGTGGTAAAGGAGAATATCAATAAATGATAAAACCCAAGAATGAGCAGGATAAAGAAGAAGAACTGACTTACAAGGTTTGCTGGCAATAATATGGAGTAAACTCAACAAATCTGCTTGTGTGTAACCCAACCCAACAGTGTACTCTATGTACAATACGTTTATGTATCATATATAAATATACATACATATATGCTTTTATAAAACTACAGCTTAGCTCCGCATAGTCGAGGGTATGCTAGTCAACTGACTGCATAACGTGTTAAGTTGCAGCATCGGTTTGATATGTGTAAACACAGGAGGAAAGAACACAAAAAATAATAATATAAAGCCACCTAAGTAGATAATGTGCGTACCTTTGTTACTGGGGATTTATATTGTATCTGCAAGTGGCGCCTCTGCAGTACATTCATTGTCCTGCCAACCACGTCGTCTAGCGGTCCTGTCTGCCAGCTATTGTTAGTTTTTAGACTATAAATTATACAAAAAACAAAAAAGGGATATTCTGCAAGAAAAGTGTAGCACTTAAACCAATAGAAGTAAATAAAAATAAATTAAAGCGAAATAAAACAAATAAAGCAGAATAACGCAGAACATTTAAATAGAATGAAGTTAAACACATAGCATAAAATAAAAACATATAAAATAAAATAAAATAAAATAAAATAAAATAAAATAAAATAAAATAAAATAAAATAAAATAAAATAAAATAAAATAAAATAAAATAAAATAAAATAAAATAAAATAAAATAAAATAAAATAAAATAAAATAAAATGAAATAAAATAAAATTATTATTACGCTTATTTGTTGAGACAGGCGTATGCAATAAACTTGTTTCCATTCGTATATGCCCCTGTACTAAATCTCTGCGTTGTAACAGTCATACTGATGGCAATTTACGGCATTATTTGGATTTATTTTTATAAGCAGTTTTTAGTGCGTCTGAGCATAAGTTAACATGTATATGAGAAAGTCGACTAAATGTAAGCTAGAAGTATCGTAAGTACTCGGGCTAATCAAGCTTCTTCTAAATTTTAAATGTTGTAAAATATAATTTGAAAATTCGAAAAGTTCTCTGCTAACGACAAAGTGTGGTAGGTTGGTTGAATTTAGGGAGTAAATTTTCCTGTTGGTCATTGCTTGGGCGTAATTACTTATTTACATGGTAAATTTGATTTTTTGTGCGGCTCAAATTTCGAAAATCATGTACAAATATTTGCGCTGAATCACATGTGTGCGAAATTGTCGTGTATGTATGTATGTACAAAATCGCTGATTCATGTTACTACCATTTTAGTCAACACTCAATTTAAACAATTCATCTTCTTCATCAGCATATACGGTTGATTTAAGTGCACATGCATATGTTCATATATATAAACACAAGCATAGAGTCATCCGTCACTTTGGAAATATATACGCTTACGGATCATACATCTTTGGGGTTATTGGCGAAGGAGCGATTGATAGATTTTCCTTTTCTAAAAAGCAAGTAAGATTTAGTAAATGGATTTTTAAAGTTAAGACGAACAAAGAAAAATACTTTAAATTTTTTTTAGATAAATAGTTGTTGGTTAATACCTCTCTACTATACAGATGCAGCAAACAGTGAATTGGCTAAAACTCTTTAATAAGCTAATATTATTTATTTATTTTTTTTTGACAAAAAAGTTAAGTAAAATTAAATCAAAAATAATAACACTACGTAGAGGAAAATAAGCATACTGACTTTTTGCGAGTTATTTGGGGGAAAAGCTTTGAATAAAGTTTTCCAAAAGCACATGCAGCAGAGATGCTCTGACCACACTCCTCACAAAGCAAAAGCAAAAACCCCCAAAAGAAGCTTCAAAATAATTACATTCAGAAATACCTACATGCAACTGTATGCATATGTACGACAAAGTTTATATGCAGCACATTCCATATATATTTATATATGCAAATGAAATGTTGCAAAAATTCAAAATTTCTTCTTTTACACCACAAAGTCATGATTATTATTTTCGATTCTACTTGAACTCGTACTTTAGTATTTAGAAAGCACCTGAGCAAGCTTACTTACACATATAGGTACATGTATTTGAAAAGGTAAGTAAGTGCACTCGTAGTTGTATGCAACAGTCACACTTACATAACTCACGTTATCTATATGAACATACATTTCTCTTTTATATTTTTTTTTTCAAATTAACAATAACAAAAATAAATAATAATAAATGTTAAAGCATTTTTAAATTACATTTCGTTTTTTTCTTTCACTTTTCAGATGATAAATTTTTGAATGACAAACATCGTACAGGAGCATTAATGCTTTCAGAAGGTAATATTAAACCTCCTAAATTGAAATGTAGCTAATGCCTTTTTATGTGGGTTTCAATAATCACAATTTACGTAATAAACTCAACGAAAACCCTCCGTGCACCCAACCGACACTAGTGGCGCCATTCGAAAAACGATTTCTCTGCTGAGAAATAATTGACAAGAGTTTGTTAAAATTCGGGATTAATAATTTTTAAACTAAAGAAATTTTTTTTTAACAGCTGAAATTTAGTAACTAAAGAAACCTAAAATGATGAACAAATTATGGAGAGAAGTAATAATAGTTTTTTTTGACGGTAAAACGTGAATCTGAGAGGTCGAAGGCGTTCGATTGAAAATCAAAGTCATGACATCATTAACGAAAGGGTTGACGCAGTTCATTATATGTTTTACGTGGCTTTAATAGTAAAGGCTTAACTCTCTAGATACACGAGTTGGAACATTTACCTCAGACAAGAACCATGAATTACGAATTGATCCGTTGAAAAATTTGACTACGAGCTAGGCGCTTAACATTTCTCTACGCCTTGGGCGAAAGGTAGACTAAGAAGCTTTAGGGGATTACAAAGATCTTGAAGGCAAAAAAAAGCTTATTTTCTCTAATTTTTTTTAAAGAAACTAAATTAAGTATACAATTTTTTTTCATATAAAAGAACAACACTTGATAAAAATTTGAATGCAAAATAGTATAAGCTAAGGCTAGGCAGTGTCGTGAAGTAGACCGTCCATAAGAAAGTGCTTTCCCCGTAGTCAGGATAACTTTTTCAATTTTTCTCTGAAATCTAAAATCCAATTTTTCCCTGAATAAAGTAAAATCAAAATTTGAATTTTTCGTAGCGTTTTTTACAAAAAAGGTAATTTTTTGCAATAGTTGACTTGTAAAATGAGTTGAAATCAAATATAAAATAAATCCCTCGTTCAGAGACTACAAAAACATGCTTACAAGCAGTGTGGAAAATTTTAACTCGACTGTTTCAATAGTCGTTGAGAAATTTTGACTACCGATTTCGATAAAGTGATTTTAAGAAAAACGCGTTTAAGGTCAACGCTTTCGGTCAAAGCATGACAAAGACGGCGGGTTATAAAAGTTTATAATTTCTACAGTTTCGTCTCGATCGACTTGAAACTTTTAAAAAATATTCCTGACACTTTGTACTTTTGTACAAAAAATTATCAAATAAGTGAATGGTTTGAAGTTTCAAGACCTATGTAACCCCTTAAACGGTTGATATAGAGAGAAGGATTCATTACAGGGTTCCGTTGGATATGCTTTGATGCAAAAAGTAAAAATTGTTTTCAATTAGACTCTAACTTATCGGAGTAAATTTGATATAAGTGAACCATATTCTAATATTGGCCTTACCAAATATGTACAAAGTGCTTTAATTTAGTTGGGTCTTTAAATTCTTTTGACCATCTTTCGCAATGCCAAATTATTTTTAGCTTTTAAGATTCTTTCTAGTTTATAGTTATTAATTGAGTAAAATGAAGATTGAACAAGTCTTTGCAGAAAGCACATACAATTTTTTATCTAATTTACCGTGATTAATTTAGTTTCAAGGTACTGGTTACTCGCTAAGATACTTATGCAATTTAAGTTGAAAAAAAAGATATATATATATATATATATATACTCATTTAATATTTTTAAAATATACCATTAGATATTGCCTTCTATATTTTAAGATTTGGTAACCCTAGTCTTGCAATCTTACAACTGAGTGCCAATCTTGTCGTAAAGTTTGACATTTTTGATGTTGTACATACTTAGAACTGCTTGAAAATATAGAGCTATTTGTGTTGTTTACTGTAACTTTAATATTAATATTTGCCAAGACATGGAATTGAAATTAAATCGGGAAATTTGTTTAAAGTTTTCGACGGGGATCAACTCAGCAACAGTGCACCGATGAACTCAATGCAATTCTCGGCAAAGCAACTGCATCTAGAGAAAATGTGTATGGTGAACTCCGCCGAGGGTGTAGATCACGCCAGAAGGAGTTTCGTAAAAGTTGTTAAAAGTCCGTTGTTTCGTGAGATATTTATGCAGTTATTATGAAGTTGTCACATCATATAATAATTGCTTGTTCTTCTTCCATTTTAACAGACTACACAAAGAAAAGACATGAGGAATAGGTTTTGACATAATGTAGTTTCTACTACACCAACAAAATACATTGACCAATTTCGCTTTTGACTTTGCGAAGCTATGATTACACAAACAAAATACATAGACTGATTGTTTTTGTATTTTTGCTACTACCGTGTGTGAATTTGCCTTGTTTCATTATTTATAAAAATTCATATTAAAAAAAATCTCACTGAATCAGAAATTCCCATGTCTTCTAAAAGCTACAATGTAAATTTTATTGAAAGTTTTGGAACAGTTTTCGAGTTACAGTAGTGGCGAGTTAGAAAAAAAACAACGCTTTTATAAAAACCCATTTAGAGCTTCATACGAAAGTCCTGCTGCACCTCAGTCTAGCTGGAAGTTCGAATAATTCAAATTTTGAATGTTCGTCATGTCAGCATACGAGCCCATGAATCTTCGCACAATAAAACGCACTGCTAATCACTCAGCCTATGCGGCCGCCTATAATTTCACACAAAATTTAGGGTACAACAACATTTAAATTATTATACATTCATGTCTTCACAAAAAAGCCGCATAAATAATATGAATGAATAAGAAATTATAACCAAAAATACCATAAAATTTAAATTGATCCAAAAATATTCGAACAAGCAAAAAGGATACCGTTATTATATACTCACATATGGTATGTTCTGCCGTTATTTTGTTTCCTAACGAGGTGTGTGAAAAAAATAAAGATAATTTTCATATTACAAAATATTTATATATTCGTGTATATTGATGTTGTGGCCATAAAAATGTGCTCATTAGAGGTTATGCACTTGTTCCACGGAGTCTTTCGGTCTTCCGTTTTTTTTTTTTGGAAATAGCAAAAAGTCATATGAAGTCATGTCTTGCGAGTACAGACGCTGGGACATCGTTATAATATTGTTTTTTTATGAAAAGATTTGTAAAAAGCAATGATGAATGATTGAAGCCATAAAAAGTTTTACCACAACTCATTCAGGTTGTAGGTTGTACTTCTCACTAACCAAATGAGCTGTTGGCAGGTATTCTTGATGGACTATGCCATTAAAGTCGAAGAACTCAGTGTACCTTCGACCGCATTTGTCGAACAGTTTCCGGTTTCAGCGAGACAGAACGCACCACTGCACGTTCAAGCTTAATGCATGGCATAGATAAAGTCAAATTTTTACCATACTTCAGTGGCATTTAAACCAACAAAATAAACAAAAATTTTGACAATCGAACTTTTCAAGCCAGGAAAACTTCAAAATTTTCCTTATATGTTGAGCTCACCTTTTATATCGTAATATAAACACAATGCTCAGCTTCCTTCCTACAAAGCCTGGTCTTCAATGGTAGCTATGGAGTTTGCGTATAAATAATTTAATAAATTTATAACACTTAAAGCGGAATGGTATAATAAATATTTTGGTATGTGTAGGTTATGTTATTCATCTTTTATCAATGGTATTGTGTGTAACACAAAGAATAGATGCCGAAAATATTTATATAAAAGTAGTTGGCAAATGTTGTCAGTCGGAAAAATAGGCAACACGTGGAAGAAAAGAAAAGAAAAGAAAAGAAAAGAAAAGAAAAGAAAAGAAAATAAAAAAATTAAAAAGTAACATGAAATATGAATAAGAAGATTAAGGAGTACCACCGTTAACGCCCAAAAAAGAACACCTGTCTTGAGGAATCTTTTCCCTTAGGCGGAGGAAAAGGGTATACAATTGTACTGCTTTGGGAAGTTATAAATAAAAAAAAAAATAAATTTCTATAAAAAATAATACAAAATGGCTGAAATGTGTGTTATATGTTATTTCATGGAGAAACTCCGCAGCTCACAGCGTGTAAAATTGAATTTTGAAACAAAATAATTTTTTTTTTCGTAATTTTTGTACATGAGAATGGCCAGATAATTACGCAGAGTAATTAAAAAATTATTTTTATGCAATTGGTAATTTTTTAAAGAAAAAACTAGATTGCATCGTAACGATAAATTTCGTGATAATCCAAAAATATCAAACGTTTCGGTTAAAGCATTTATAGAAATAAATTTTATTTCGTTATTACCCGAAATGAGAAGTTTTTAATGTAAAATCGATAACAGATCATCATCGATTTAATGTTAAAATTGCCATTCAAAAATTTAATTTAAATATAAGTTTTTAGCGGTGTGAACATTAACAATTTCATTTCGTTTCGTTAACATTACGCCAAAATGCTCCGAGACGAAAGAAATCATTTCGTTTAGTTTATTTTTTATGTTGTTTAAATGAATTATCGAAAACTTCCTTTGTGTTTCTCTTATAAATATTTTAAAAAAGATGTAGGAAAGAAATTGATTAAAACTATTAAAAATTATTTGAGCTATTTTGCCGCGGTAGCCGGTGGTAGGTACTGCCATTCGGAATCCTCGGGTTCAAATTCAGGTGTCGCACTACCATCCAAAAAGTTATAGAAAATGATTTTAAATTAAAAATTAAGCTAAATTTTCTTATTGCGGTCGCCCCTCGACAGCGAATTTCAACACCTCTGAGTGTATTTCTGACATGATATAAAAAGCACCTCATAAAAAACCATCAGCCGTTCGTAGACGCCTTAGTATAAAACTGTAGGTCCCTCCATTTGTGGAAAAACCCACTCTAAATTTCTAAGATATATAAAACACATATATGTATATATATATCAGTTTCAAGCACTTTGAAAAGTTTTTTGTTCTTTTTTCAACAGAGTTGAAAAAATTTTTTGGGCCAACAAAAAAATAAAAAAATTAAAAAAAAAATTTTGGAAATACCTACAGTGCTGTCATTGTCATCCGTTATGCTGAAAGTTTTGTAGCATCATCTCTCCGTTTATGTCTGAATTCGTTCACCACCCAAAACGTTATTTATTTCTTA